GTTGAAACCTCTCAGGTTATCAACAAATACCAGTATGAAATAAAAAAGTTTTCACCGTTTCAGACTGTATTCATTATCACCATCAAGAACTGTGGTTCCAACCGTGTAAATAATAAATCGAATCGTCGAGACGATGACGAAAAACATGTTAACGTCGTAAATAATGCAATAAGGGTATAGACCGATTGGTTAGCTGTTTCCGGTATAACATATTATATTATTATAACGATCGGGTGGCCGGTGGGCACAAACCGACAATTAATATAGGGACTGGGAAATTACGTAAAAAATAACGTTCAACCTAACTGATGTTATCGTACGAGGTTATAAAAAATTATTTATCTGATTCTTGGAACCTAGCCCCCCTTGATCRCCTGATTTGATTTCATGCGATTATTTATTTTGGGAACATGTAAAAGGTATTGTACCCCAGGCCCAGATACGTACCCCCATTATCATCAACCACAAAGGAGTTAAGCGATTAGCGGGGTCATTTACAAAGGATGTATTGGAGAAAATTTAGAATDACTTTAGCTATTGATTAGACACGTTGATCGTATTTCGTATAACATTCATATAGAAAACATTTATAAGTGTTCTACCATGAACAAAAATTTAAATATTTTTTTTTTTTTATTAAACAACTATCCGCGGCGTCTATGGCCATTGGATGTAATAGTACATTATCTTTTATTTTAGTTATAATATTGTAACGCATCTAATATCATATATTATCACTTTAAACCTAAGAATAAAATGTTCAACTATATTTGAAACCGGTTGAATTATTTTGAATAACTCAGGACGTATGATATTATTATTATTATACCCATGTCTCGCATGAATCAGTCTTTAGGACAAATTAATAGGTGGGGCTGCGGTATTATAATGACAACCCTTGCGGGGTGCGTGCAAGGGGTGACAATAGCAGGATTTGGCTTCGGTGCAGATACGCGGGGTTGGGTTTATGGGTATATATTCTATATATTATGATTACTTACGCGTGTCACTGGATACGACCCCTGTGTTGGCGCCGACCGTGCTCGTCGACGAACATTGAAACATGACTTCATCGCCCGATCACGGGTTATTGTACCGCGAATCGTGGACGGTAATTTTCCACCTGGTCAAACACGAACACATAAATGTTATTATTATCATGAATGTTGAAGTATTGTTTTTACGAAATATATCTAAACTGCAGGGCACGCATTGTGTGAAAACGTGTAATGTTTACGTGGTGCGTATAAAAAAATACCTATCTATTTAATAACATTAGGTAATATTTTTATATCGTGATAATACGTAGCGTTCGCGGACGGGACTGGCTGGTTGGCTGCGCGGTATTGCCTATACCGACTATGTTATATTCAAATACAAGAGTGAGGGTAAAAAAGTCGTTCCGGGACATTGTCGCGGTGCACGTCATAAGATAACCAACAAATAACAATAAACGATTATACGCATACATTGTGATATAATAAATGTATGGATATGGTCATATGGAATTACTACCGGTGGAAAATCAACGAAGGTGACGGTCAGATGAAACTCTTCCGAGTATTAATTAAAAGAATTCTAGCTGGAAATTCGTTATGCTAAATCGGCGTAAAAATAAATAACGTACCGAGAAGTGTGGACCATATCATCTGCATGTCTAAACTGGTGTAGTCCAGCGGATTTCTAGAAAGTGCAAGCCAGGAAACCCGCTGCCCAAGTGTCGTCGGTGTCGAAGTGTCGATATCTTACAATGTTAGACTATACTAAATAGTTATGTGTTATCGTTTAACCTAAATCCGTGTTATGTAAAACGACTTTTGGAGGGAAAAATGAATTTGATCGTGATTACGATTACGCCAATACTATACGGTTATTAATACTAATGACCGCGAATAGATTCTGAATGTGTMGATCAAACTGGAGGTACATGATGTTCACACAGACAACTATATAGTATATTATTATAACGTCGTATAATTATGTCGCCCGTTGTAGTATTTCGGTATAGGAATGTACTAACTCGTAAAAAACAAGACTCATATAATATTATATATATATTATGTACATAAGTAATACTATTACATTACATTATAGTATACCAACATAATACATTATACTATTATTATTATTATATACATTATAGAGGCGCGCGTGCGTGTATGTGTGTGTGTGTGTGTGCGTGTGTGAGAGAGAGAGATAAGCTTTTAACGAAGGGTTACGTCATGGCGACAAGGTATATAATCGACAGAGATAAGTATTATAGGCACCTATAGTGCTGCAAAATATGCTGGTGCACAGGTTCGGACAATTAATGTCGATGTGATAAGAAGGCTGTTTTCGTGTACATGGATATAGATAAGGTAATTCGGTGTGGGACTGGTGGGCATTGTGTTTTAAAGAATAATGAACTTCAGTATACTACACGGCCTGGTAGGCAGGCAGGCATATTATATAGGTATAATGGGTACGCGTCGGCGCTGCATCGTTATTATCCGGGTGACTGTGTTTTTATATATTAAAATATATTATGTATAGGTACTAAAGGTACTTGCGGTGCTGCAGGCGATAACGTAATAGTACAACCCAACTTACACCCATCATCATATTATTAAAATATACGATAAATGTACGATTATCGTTGTCCGTTGATATACTCGTATTTTATAGTTGGACAATAATGGMCTGCTTTGCGAAACGACCCGATAAAAGATGATTTCGTAAATATTACAGTTTATTCACGCCCAACGGTGTATGACAAAAGCTGCCACTCCACACCCTTTAACTTTAATTCGCATACCACGAATCCACGACTATACGATTTTGTACAATATTGTACCTCCCCGAATCGGGCGGCGATCGATATCGATATATATTTACGATCGATGAAGAAACACAACGACAACGGCCGCCGCCGTAATATCGTATATTTATTTTATTACTCTACTATAAATTGKACACAAATTAACAAAAATATTAATTATAGCTTTACAGCTCGTGTATACCTGTAACGTACATGATTCATGAATATTTTGGCTCTAAATGTGGTGATGTGTTGCGATACTGCGGACGTCCTCGAACAATCAGTGRGTCGAACGATTGCGACTTAACGATGTTTTCAGTCTTAACCGATTACTGATAAAAAAAAATTCCAACAATAATATTTAAAAATTATTTTTATTTCAACCGAACGGAAAACTAAGAAAAATGAACGTGTATTGTAATATTAAATATTATATCGTACACGTATACGAAACGTTTCGTAGCCTTCGGAGGTTTTATCGTTCTTTCCCGAACACATATACGAATGAATCGATGCAGTGCGCGGTGGTTTGGGCACGTTAATCTAATCGCTTAATAGGTTACAGAATTATCAGATAGATGGTTCTAATCTAACAGTTTGCTGATGAATAATAAAACCTAAGAAAAAACTCGTTAAATTGTTATTCTTCATCATCGACGTACACACATACTGCACAGAAATTGTTATCGTATTACACGATCGTAATAACTATAAAAACGAAAGCATCAACTAATAATGTTCTATATTCATAATACATACTATGAATTAATGGTTTATGRATAATGTGGTGGCAGTCYACTCATCCTTTTGACCTTTGTGGATTATTTTGGACCAAACGAGAAATGACTGATAAATTAATAACGCAACTGACAAAATTTGTTCGACACAATGTACCTAATGTGCGTGTGYTATAAAAACATTATAATATTATAATTTACGTATAATATAATAACAATAAAACGATTGTAAAAAATTCGTAATTAAAATACAGATATATAAACATTTTATTTCAATAACTAATTTAAAATTCACTTTTCGTATTTATTGGATGAATCGATTAGGCAAAGTTTAGGTTACTGGTGATTTTTCTGAAATTCGGTGTAATTTTTAACCGTTGTTAATTAACTTTTTTTCAAATAACTAAAGTTTTCATTCGATTTTTCTAGGACAAACTTAATATTCTTTAACCAAACAACAAAAATTATGATTTCGATTATACATAATTATTAATTATACATAGTGTAAGCCGTGAGGTCCAAAGTAACAATATTCGATAAGTGTGCGCTACCTATTATAATATAATATTTAAACTAATGATATTTGATCGTACGATTAACTGAAATCAGTAATCGGGTACAATGGGTATGATAGATAACTCTATTTGATTAAGTACCTACCTACTCGATATCGAGTTTTCAAATATTTATACGAAACTTCTATACAGCATAAACCTACTATATCAGATCAATGTGGTTTTATATTATTATAGTTTTTATTTATATCAGTCATTCTGTTAGTATGTTAACGAAAAAAGATATCTTATCAGTAATATAATATTGTCACGTACTCCGTTGATTACAGCACGTGTTTATAATATTTGAAAATGTAAATTAAAGTACTTTCTTGCGTTTACCCAATTTTATTCTCTCCCTACAAATTATAATATACCATAAACGTGATATTATCATTGGTAGTAATTATAAAGCAACAATCATAATCTATGTAATAAGAATATGTCACACATATTATAACTATTCGAAATTGATCATCGTTTATTATTAGGATCACCGATATCTAAAATATGTGCAACTTAAGATTAAGATAATAGGAGATAGAACTGTTTTTCTAAGAAATGATAAATCAAAATTATAATTATTGCCCAAGTGTCGAGTAATAAACTCCGTATCGGTATAATTCACCACGATTAATTTAAATAATCTGTAATTATATTTTTACTATCAGTTTACAGTTGAATTAAAATACCTACTTTATTGTACTGATATTGTTTGTTTGGGTTTGGTTTGGTTTTGTACCACGGTAAATAACAACCGCGGTTACGACAAGCGTTAACCCGAATACAGAGATTTTTCTGTTCTACTAAAACTCTGGGCATTTTTTAAAACGGTCTTTCATAGATTTCCATTCTAATCGGGATAAATATAACTCGTATAATCTCGACAACGTGGACTGGCTTTATTCGCATAATATCAGCCTAAGCTTATATTATTATATAATTTTTATATGTCTATAYAATTAATATGTAACACTTAAACAACATTCTGAAATCAATCTAATTGATTTTATTATTGTCTAATATTTATAAAACAACCCATAACATAATACACATTATTATTGTTTGTATGCCGATTAAAATATACTCTGAGACATTATGTAATAATAATAATTTATGTTCACAGAAATATATGACAATTGGACACACGTCATGAGCGTCACCGGTTGTAGTATTTTTTTGTCCAATAACGATAACCAACTGGACCATTTACGATATTCTTATACTGAGCAGAATTTTAAACGCTACATAATAATTTGCCGTCATATGTTTTGCTTTCGTTGGATATAAAAAAAAAACATACTATAAACATGCGCTCGGTTAAAAACAGTTAAAAATTGAAAAATCGTATATATTATATACCTACCTATGTTATGATATGTATATACCTATGTTTATATATATATTATATAAACATATATAAACGACAAGAATATATATGTGTAGGAGGAACCTTATTAATAACATTTTTAAGTATGTAATTGTGTACTCGTGGTCAATCGGCGTGTTCTGATAACTAAATATGTATGTAGATGTATGTGTGTGTTTGTGTGTGTGTGTGTGTGTGTGTGTGTGTGTGTTTGTGTATGTAAATATATACAAGTATGTTTAATAATGTGTATAATGCAGACTATATTGTTGTCTTATAGCGCCGACCTAATAAATAAAAACCCTTCAGTGATTTAGAAAAGGGCGAACGTGTGTCTTGGGCGTAATGATATTTTATGGTTTTGAGACAAACGCAATAAATATTGGAGTTTATTTAGGTTAATAATAGATTAAACTGTGCAGAAATGTACAATGTTTCGTCATATGTTATGAAGTCATGCAATGTCTTCAATTTTTTAATAATATACATATAAATCTCAATTACGTTCATTAAAATATCATTAAAATAAATAGAAAAACTAACGTGTTTGTAATTAGTTAATTCATTATAGTGACGAATTACTTTGAAATTTCAAAAATCACAAATATTACAATCTGATTTAGCGAAATGGACGAACAGCGTGCAAGCGCGCACATAATATTAAATATTAATATATTATAAAATCTAAACAGTAAATAGGGTTATTAAAAATGACGATAAGCTATATTAGGTACTATAATGTAAAATAGTATACTTATATCCATTAGATGTAATAGAATGATTACCATGCTTTACTGCAGTGTAATATTATTAATTTATATTTCCGATTCAAATGATCAATAAATAAAACATTGAAGAATATTTTATGTGTGTGTAAAATTAATTGATTAAATATGTATTATTAATTCCATACTTATCTGACTGAGTCTACCGAGCGATTATATTATAATAATAAATAAATAGTAAATAGGTATAATAAGTATACACATTATTATCCCTACGAAGTTAATGAATAATATGAAGTATTACTTGAAAATATCTTCAAGTTATTATGTACATAAAATAACTAATTTTATTTTGATCTTAATTTCAAAACATCGATCGTAATCTTAAGGTTACTTTGTTCATTAAAAATATACTATTGCAATCCTATGAATTTAGTATTACGCCTAATGATTCCAAAATCAATATCAATTGTTCAGCAAGCATAAGTAATAAAAAACAATTTTAGATTATTTTTTTATCTATACTTATTATTAAATACTTGATAATTTGATATCAAATTCAAACATTATTTGTTGATTGATATTTTAATCGCAATTCATATTATATTTTAAAGAAATAATATTATACATACGATACGTATACATATACGTACATATACATAGTAGTGATGGTTTCAACAGTAGTTTAACGTTATGGAGCCGTGAGCCCTGTGAGCGTAGGTATACCTTTACAATTTTCTAAGTTTCATTATGACATTATTAAACATTATATATTTTTAATAATAATACGATACTATCCTTGTATTTTATCAGATCAGTACGAGACGACAAGTGTTTTGATAATAGATTAAAAGCCAAATCATTGTACGATATTTACTATATATTATTATAAGGCACAGAAAAAAAAATGTGATCATTACTACTATGCTTATAAGTCATAAACATTATTTATCTATAACCATTGTTTTTATCACGTTATCATGAGTGTATAATTTGTAACATGATCCGGTATTGAAAGTGTGTAGATTGAACCGTTTAACGTCTACAGGATTTGTCGAAATGATTATAAAATGTGACATTATAAACGACTTCAGTAATGACCTAAAATAACTTGCCAAGGCCATAAGAAAGGTATTGGATATTATAATATAATATGTGTCTGCAAGATATATGGTTTAAGTTTATACTTATGTTTATCATTAATCAATACGACAATATGAATCGTTCATTGCAATCTGACAATTAGTTATTTGATGTATACAAATTAAAAAAAATATATCGAAAATTGATTGAAGTATATCCATATATATTATATATTATTATCGTATATCTCTATATTATGTAATATATATTATACTGCATTGTGCCATTGTACGTCATTGCAATATCAAACTAACCGACAAGACTTCTGGCGATACTGATGAAAAAACACGTTTTTAAAGAAAAAAGAACCATTTGCAAATCTACAGAAAGGTAAAGTGTTTTTTTTTTATTATTTTAATACACATCATATCATCTCGATGCTGTTTTTTAACATACTGTAAATCGATAGAAAATATATAATATACAGGACAAGTCTTAAGTAACTACATCGACATCTTCGACGTATTAATATTCAGCTCGAATCGAAAACGCAATGCACCTAATATGTCGTGTTTATACACAAAAGGATAAGCTCGTCTTCTGTTTTTAAAACTTACTAGTATACTATGCAAGTGTGTGTGTCATTAACAGATTAACCACATATACACAATGTGGCGTATAAATAATAAACCAACATTGATATTATTAAAATGCACGGGCCAAGATGATTGTGTTAGGATTTATAAATTATATATTTTTTAATCTCATTCGTGTGACCGCGCAAACCGGTCCCATCAGTAGCGTAGTGTTATTAAACTCGTTGTGACTGATTTAAAAGTTATTTGAATAACATTTTTTTTAACA